AGAAAAAAGAAAGAAAAACAGAAAAAGAAAAAGACTAAGAAAGATAAAGAAGACGAATTAAATTAATTAAAATAAATAAATAAACAAATAAAAACGTTCTTTGACCGAGAAACGAATGTCAAAAATGTTTAAATACTTGCATGTAATTTTCAAAGTTGTACGGGATGCCTAATTTTTTTTCCCCCGTGGAAAGTTCATTGATGACTCACAGAACGACATTTGCTAGTTTTAGGTTTTTTTCTTTCTCCAGTTCTACGGTTAGTTAGGTAATAACTTCGTCGGTGGTTGTTTGGGGAGGGGAGGGGGGGGGCAACTTGTTAGTCTTACTTCTTTTATTTCCCTCTGTTCTTTCTGTCTGTCTGTCTTGCTTTTTCCTTGCACTCAACAGCCACATTATTGCATCAATGTGCAGCTTTTTACTCAAACAATCAAACAGAACACCACCAATATACCTTTTTAAAAATTGCAGACGCCTCGAGCAGACGTGGACATCAAGGTGCACAGCTCTTTCCTACGTCATCAAAAAGTGCCGGGATCTACAGGGGCGCGTTTCCCGTGGTCTGTGGGAGTCGTCAGAGTGATGGACCTGAAACTGGAGGTATTGGTGGCTTTCTTCCTCGTCTGTCTGTCTGTCTGTCACATACTTCTGGTTACCCTCCATCTCCTTGTTCTCTCTCTCGCTCGCTCTCTCTCAGTCTCAGCCCCCCTCTCCCTGTCTCTGTCTGTCGGTCTCCCCCCCTCTCTCTCCTTCTTTCCCACTCTCCCTCTTTCTCTGATTTTTGAGCTCGCCTCCTTCTCCTCCTCTCTCTCTCTCTTATTCTCTCTCTCTCTCTCTCTCTCTCTCTCTCTCTCTCTCTCTCTTTCTCTCTCTCTTGCTCCTCTTCCCCTAGCTGTAAGCCCCCCCCCCACCTAATCTATTTTCCTATTCCACCTCTACCCTCTTTTCCTCTCCTTTTCCACCTTCCTCCTTTTCGGCCCTCTTGTCCCTTCTCCTCCTCCTTTCTCTTTCCCCTGTCTACAATATCTTGTCTTCCTCACTGTTATTGTCAGTTCTAGCACTAAAAGACTGCTATTGTGTCAATGCACTTCTTTTTGGGCAAACAAACAAACCATCTTACCAACACCCTCCCCTTCCCCACTCCCCTCCCCTTCCCCCCCACCCCCAAGGTTGACCATCACTTTAACTTTGAGCTGGACCATCATGCCCGCAAATACACACAGTTCTGTCACCGTGACAACGTGCGCAGCCAGCCACATGTCTACCTGAGACGACATGAGGATGACTACAAGATCAACTATGGAAATGTCAACGGTAATATTGGGGTTTTTTTAAAAAATTATTGCAAGTGTTTTGCACCCATATTTATATCAAACGCCATGAGTCACTCGAAAAACATATTCTGGAAGCAAATTGCAAAAATTGAAGGCAAGAAGGAAAGGGGCTGAAAGGACCTATATATAATACACATGTACTGGCAATCAAAAAAAAAAAGGTGCCACTTTTTGATTGTGTAAAAAATGCAGTCTTTTGAGTCTTTATATTGTGCTTTTTCTTTCTCTTGGGTCATCTTATAAAAATAGCATTTTGGTGCTTCAATTAGTGTTCACAGCACCAAAGTTAAAAAATAGAAAAATTGGCATTTTTCCCCAACCATTTGGGGGATCTTTTCTACCATTTATTTTTTAAATGAAATTTATGTTTCTGTTTACCAAAAGCCACAATAATATTTGATCTTTGGTGCCCAAGGAAGACAGAAGATTTAATTCAACTGCATTGAAATCGAGCTATCAGTATGCTTCGCGCGTTTCTACTGTCACCAGGATACTCAAAGTCAACAGTAAAACAGATGTTGAATATCCTGGCTAGAAAAAAACCCAAAAGGTGTAAGGATTCTGTGAATTGTAAACTGTATGTATGTTGAAGGAATACTATACTACATGTACTACTAGCTGTTTCCAGTCTTTATATTCTTCCCTTGTTTTCCTTCCCATCTCTCTTCCACTCCCCAACGTCCCCCACCCCCATCCTTCGAATCTATTTCCAGCCATCAGTCTGATTGCTCTGCTCAGAATGGGTCTTCTCCCAGCTGACAAGGCCAAGTTCTACAACTCTTTTGTTGAGCTGCCACTCTATGAGGACATGGCTCCTTGGAACATCGGTGAGGAGATCCTACTTTTGTTTGATTAATGGGTTGCAAGTGTTTTACTCAGACATGAAAACAATCTGGATGATTTAGGAGCTGGGTTGCTTTAACACTACTAGTGTCCATGGCCCATTAAATTGTCCGTACGCTTCACTCTGAGGTGTCACGGCCTATTTATGTTGCAAGTGCCATAAAACTCTAACTAAAACAGGTGCATCAACTTAATAAGGGTCATTTAGTCCCTTTCTCTGAACTATGTATCTTAAAATTAGAAAGTAAAATCCCCCCCCCCCCCCACCCCACCCCACCCCACACATGAATAAAGTATACATCAGAGCTGCCCATCATTATGAATTTGGCGGAACCGTTACGATTTTTATTCAGTTTTATGAAAATACGATCGTAATACCCCTGATTCCCATTTGTAAAAATTTGGTTACCTCAACCCACTGCCAACCTTCCCAATGTATGTGAGAGCAGACAATTTTAAACTACCAGGCTTGGACAATCTATGTCACTACGTCATGTGCAACTGTCTAACAGTTCTAGCACGTTGAACCAGGGCGGGCTAGAAACTCTAGACTGGACTGCGCCCTTGTAGTCATTCAGTGCCACTTTGCCTTAGGAAAACGTTAGATTAGAATTTCTAAGGGGTTGGCTATATTTCGAATTTTTAAGCCAGTTTACCAATTTTCTATGAAATTTGTTGATTACTCAAACATATGCTGGTTGATGCGAAGCCCTGATACATTTGTTTTCTGTTCCCCAACAGTGTACCGTGGGGGTCATCTGGAGTACATTGATCAAGACACCAAAGACAAAACTTTTGACAAGTTGGTTCCTTTGGCATATCAGGTAACAATGACAATGCATTATACTTGTTACATAATAAAGGTAGTAAAAAATTGATGCCAAGTGTACTTCTTTTTCTTCTTCTTCTGTATACCCCTGCTAAAGCTTAGGAGGTAACTGACTGTAAGACCTTTATCTCAAAGTGCAGTTGATTTTTATGTGCAGGACCATTTTATCTACTTTGAACATAGAGTCATTCCTTACCTGAGAGGCAACTGTGTCATTTTTTAACCCTATCCGTACGTCATGTTTTACTATCGTATCCATACCACGAGGGGAACTCTGTACCACCACTTTCCAAAGAGGAAATTTACTCGTTAATCCGATCGGTACGCTTTGCATAGCAATCTGTCAAAATGATTTTTGAAAAATACTGAAAGTTTTCAAAGAGATCTTACTACTGAAGTATTCTAAAATGTGAAGAATACAACCCCGGGGGTACAAAATGACCTCAGGGCATGCGGATAGGGTTAAAGTACCTTTAATATTTACACTGACTAGAATGGCTCCAGTATTGGGTAGGCCACCTACTGTCGAGGAAAAAAGTGGCCATCTAAAATGAGTGGACATCTTATACTGTGTCATCATATTGTAAAAATCCCCCCCCCCCCACAAAATGGGATGTGGGAAGTAGTCGTTTTTGCTGGTGATTGTCTTCAACAAGTGGCTGTAGGAGTAGATTCAACTGTATTTCACACATTTGTCAATTCCTTTGTCTGTTACAGGTAATGCTAGTGCTTGTCAACTACAGAAGGACAGTGGAGGATTTTAGACATTGCGGAGATTCAGCATCGTAAGTTGTGTTCCCCCCTCCTCCACCCCCCCACCCCCTTTATGAAAAAAAATTGTATTTTATGATCATATAATTTCACAGTAACTCTTGTAGCCATTCAGTTCACTCCAAATGACAATGATATTCCCCAGGAAGACATATAGCTTTCCATTCTGCTGGCATTCACCATTTCCATCTCTGCCATTTGCTATATATAGCCATGTGCAGTTGGATGTACTGGGGAGTACAGAATGCAGGGGGAATGGAAGTTTGTTTCATAACGATATGGCGTCCTTCCCAATGGTAATTGAATTTACAGTTTTGTTGTTGTTGTTGTTGTTGTTATTCCTGTAACATTTGAGCATTTGCCCTTTGACTCAATGACATGGAAAATGGAGGTCGTCCAGATTTGTTCTTTGCTGCAGTTTAGGGTATGTTTGTTGGTCGTTTCCACTTCACCCATCTGTTCAAGTTTTCTACGAAACAATAATTACTATAATGATGATTATAATTATGATAATAGTAATAATAGTAATAGAGGTTATAATTATTATGATGGTGATGATGATGATAATGATAATAATAATAATTGCGTTTATAGTAGTAGGCTACATGTCCACGTTCTACACTCTACAGCATGTTCTATGCGTTTTATAATTATTGTTATCTCAGTAGACCTTAAACGACTACTCTAAAATAGAAAAATAAAAATAAAGAAGAAATATATTTATTGTGGGAGAAAAATGAGCGAAGCCACGTCTGCAGGGGCTGTTCACCCTGGAAGCGACCTCGTTGAATCCGAGCTTGCTGATTTAAGTGTTAGTTGAATCCGGGCTATTTTTATTGATTTTAAAGAAGAAAAAACCCCCCGGGGAATCCATCTCCTCCCGTTGAATCCGAGTTTACGTCAAATCCGAGTTCCACTGTATTAGTCAACAGATATATATTTGTGTTACGTCTGGACCTTTTTGCTACACAAATGTATCGGAATGTTCTCTTTGTCTCCCCCAGTATGTTGGTCGACATCCCCGGCATTGCTTCATGTGTCAGGAGCCAGTTTGGAGGGCCTTGCAATGTGAGTCAGTTAGATAGAAGAAATCTTTAGGTTTTCTAATAGAGCTGCATAGGTTTTTAAAAACAGTATATTTTATTATTTTTGAAAGTTATATTATATATTATATTGTAATAGAATATCAAGTCAAAATCGTCGTAGTAGATCTTTTCTGAGTAGGCACAAAACTGACTATTCATGCCTATTTTTTTGTCAATAAATAGCTTATCACAATATAAAAATCTGGTCTCTCTATGGGAAGAGAGTGGGAAAGGGGTACATGAATGTGTCCCACCTTCCAGAACAGCCTTGGGGTGCTACAATAAGGGACAAAAGCTGAAGGAAGAATGGCGAAAACTAACAGTTAGGTTAGATCTAAGAGTTGTTTGTTTTAATCATCTTTTTGCTTCTTCTTGCAGTTTAAAAATTCTATTTAAATAACTCAAACTCTCATGGTCAATACATGTCTGCTGATATGATGAGATCATGAACATGGCACGTATAAAAGGGACTCAGGAGATAAAAAAACAAACACAAAAAACAACAATTGATCAAACTTCTCCCTTTGCCTTTGTTGCTCTAGGACTCCCGTTACCCTGTGCCGTGTGGGGACAAGAGCTGTCGATCTACCTACATTGAGTGTCTCCAGGTCATGCAGCGCAAGGTCAAGAACAAAGGTAAGGAAGTTGCATTATCTCGGTCATAACACAATTGCATAAGTCATGCTTTGTTGCTTTAAAAAGCATGAAATGTTGTGCTTACCGAAATCAACTTAATAACTCGAGACAAAGATTAAATTTTTAGCACATGAAACAGAGCCCTGCAATAATGGGGATACAAAACAAATAAAATGTTTACCACACCGATGACTAGAAATTTGAGATTTAAAAACCAAATGACTCGGGAATATTAAATATTCAATTTTCATTGAGTTTCTCCAAACAGTTATTGTCAATAGAGCAATGTGGGACATTGTTAGTTAAAATAAAAATGGATTTATCAAAACTCATGCCCTCCTCCTTTCTCTTCATCTCTTTTAGTTAAACAGAAAGTGTGAACGTATGATAAAGTATAAAGCCAGTGCAGTTCCAAAGGTGTTACTCAGTGTGTATTTTTGGATCAGTCTCTCTCAGACTGTACATGACTTTATGTCTTTCTTTGTTTCTCCTCCATTTGACTCAGACACAGCCAAGTCAGTTGAGCAGAGCAGTCATGTTAGAAAGGCTTCTTCAGAAGTCTGGGTGAGTGTCTTATTTTTCAGCAGTAATTATCATTCATTTATGTGCAGGGGAACAGAGGGAGGGGGGGAGATAACCCCTGTTTTGAACTCATGGCGAAATGAATTTTGACTTAGTTCTAAGTAATGATAAGCTGTTTCCGCTTTTGACCTCTAGTGAAGCATACAAGTCTTTCACAAAAAGCAAAAGTGGTGGATCACAATCAAACTTGTAATTTGCTCAGCGTTTGTTTTTTTCTTTATGCGGTTTTATTCTCATAGGATTCAACAAATCAGGTGATTAAAGAGCCATAAACACATCTTTGTGTGTGTGCTGTAGGACGGTCTCTGCACAAAATGAAAACATATCTCATGTAGTTTTCTTGCGTTGCGGATTTTATGTCCTAGCTCTATCCTTTTTTGGTGATTTTCTCAAGGGATCCATCATCCAGCCTCATACAACTTTAATAGTTTATTCATATGAAAATATGAAACAGCTACAATGGCTTCATTTGTCAAAAAAATCCAAGGGGGCTCTCATGGTCTAGAAGTTATAGTGTTACCTTCTCGTTCAATAGATCCTGGGTTCGAAACCTGAGACTGACAGCGACAGAAAATTTTGTCTAAAATTTTTTCCTTTAACCTCCTCTCCTTCTCTTTGACCATGTTCTGTCGTCTGCTTTCGTCTCTACTTTCTGCCCCCCCTCCTCTGGGCTCCTGACTCTTTCTGTAGCTTTTCCGCTGCTACTCCTTGGCTCCTTTTTTTTTTTTTTAGTAGAGGTTTTTCGGCACTCGCAACTGCATAAGGTCATATGAGCGCCAGAAGATTAGAGGTGTTACAAGAGAGTAACAAACATAAAAAAGAAGAAGGGGAGATAAGGACGATAGATGTTTGATAGGAAAGAAGAAGCAAACCACACCAGAGCACCCGCCAACCACCCATTCCTCCTTGGCTCCTTCTTTCATCTTACTGCCGTCTTTTAGCCACACCCCTGATCTTATGGTAAGTAAGATCTAACACCTAGCCTTCTCAGACAAGGGCGAAAAATCTCGGAGGTCCCGTGTGCAAGTTGCACATGTCAAAAAATCCATTGGTGGTACTAAAATAAAAAAGAGTATGTTTCAGCCCCACTTGGGCAAAATTTAAAATTCCTGCCAAACTGAAAATGTTTAAGTTTATTTAATGTGTCATGCGGGCTTATAGATCTATATGACTGTATGCAGCTGTCATCTCTGTAAAACAAACCAACAAAAAACAAGACAAAACAAATAATCCAAAAGAGATCGACAGTTCTCTTTTTTGACTGGTTTCTGTAGTTAATGCTTAGGTTCTTCTCTGTGGCATGCAAAATAATCCAAAAGAGATCGAGTTCTCTTTTTTGACTGGTTTCTGTAGTTAATGCTTAGGTTCTTCTCTGTGGCATGCAAAATACATGAATTCAATTCCTGTATGAGGAAGTTTTTAAAAATTGAGTATGAGTATCTCCATCTGTTGCTGGGATATCGTATCCGTCTCAACTCAGGTCGGCTCTGACAGGCAGGGCTGAAGCAGTCGGCCTCCTTATTTATCTATATATATTGTGTTGATAGGGGCTGCAAAACATTTGCAATTACAGCACCGATATTGTTCACTGTGATGTAATGTATGTTGCTGCAAAAATGTAAAAACTCTCTCAAAAATACTCTCATGTCTTTCTTATTCTACAACAGGGCTTTGGCAACAATGGAATGAAAGACTAGAAATGTCAGTGTCAGAGCTATTTGACTCATCCCTTCCATCTACGCATCTGCTGCAATATTGTGCTTTGCAGTGCTGAGCTTTTATTACGACGGTGCCATATTGTATCATTTATCAGGTTTACAGTACAGTAAGGGCTTTATTTATGGGTTTTTTCGAAGAGATTTGCTTCATTTATCATATGTATTTCATGATGTGACAAGTGATTCAGTGCGTTAAAAATGCAACAAGTATTGGAAATATGTTCCCTGTATAAAAACACTTAATACTCAGTATTTATTTGTTTCTCAGATTCTTATGTTCAAAGCTATAACTTACAATTTATTTATATATATATCTGCTGTGTGCCTTGAACCTCACCAAAAAAGGAATGTATCGTGAAGTCTGCTTAAACTTAAACCACAAATGGGTAATCCAAACACAGCAGTAAACTGAGAGAAAAATTTTTAATTTTTAAAAACCTATATTTTTCTCTCTATTTGAGCAATCACTCAATCAAAAACTTGGCTGAACTGAAAAAAATCTGGCAGTCCCTCAGATTTCAGTTTTTTTGTTTTAAGCAGACTCTGTATTGTATTTACATTAGATCCTGATTCTGAGCTAAGAGTGTTGTGCATCTCATTGCATTGTGCACATTACATGCTCATGGCCATTCAAAATAAAGGTCATCATTATCCAACCTTTTCCCCCTATTAATGGATATAGGGAGCTCTCCACCTGTCTCTGTTCTGGGCAATCTTCTCCACCCCCAGCCTGCTGGTTCCTCTATATATTATGTCTGATATCTGCTTCTAGATCTCACTCCCAGGTGGATCCCGGCCTTCTTTTCTTTCTCCTCACCAGGGAATTCCATTTAAAAGGCATTGTCTTGTCCCTTTATGGACTGGCTTTCTTCAGAGTGTGTGTCCACTTCTTCACCATCTTTCTTCTTTTTTTTTTCCATCTCACAGTCAATAGTTTGGTTTGCTTCCATAATTCTACAATTTCTGATGTTGTCCAAGCCAATGAATTTTCATGATCTTACTCAGGCAACAATAGATGAAGGACTGTACTGTATTTTGTATACTAAGGGTGCTGTGCATTCTAGAATGCTTGAGTTTTTTAAATTTTATCTATCCAATCTGTATGGTTTGTTAGAGTTAGCATTATAATTAGAAATATTTTATTGTTCTTTTAGATTTTTGTTCCTTATTCCATGTTATATTAGTTTTTGCCAATATGAACAATAAATCTGTGGTTTTGTTTGATAATATGAATTCTCTTTTATTGACATAGTTTTATTATTTGTAAACAAAGCTCCAGAACAAACTGATCTTTGTCACGGTCAAGATGTTAGGAAAAAACTAGACAAGAACTCTGTGTTGTGTAGACTAGATACACAAGGTCTGCAAAAGAACAGAATGTCATTGTCTGTTTTTCTTTTTTGTGGATTGCGCTTATTCCAACAGAACATTTACTGCGTAAAAAAAAAGAAAGGATTTTTCCACAAGTTAACTATAGCCCTTCATTTCAAAATACTCAACCTGGTTACACTTTGAAGTTTATCCCTGAGCATAAAGTACAGTACAACTATCTATTGAATTTCAGCTACTTCAGTTTCCATTGAATGACTGGAACAGCCAAACAAAGCGTTCATTTTTGTGATTAACGCGTTTTATGTTCATAAAGTCAAACAGTACATGCACAATGAAATAGTGAAATTAAAATATTTTTTTTTACATCAAATGAGAACAAAGAAACCAAGTGTACAGTCCATGCATAAAAAAAAGTGCAAAACTTTTATTTGATTTTTACACAAAAATGTCTGAGATAATGGCAGAACTGGCATAAGTAAGTACACAGTTATTAGGCATGCACCTGGCCTATGTAAGTTATCTTTGAACATAGTGAATAAGGCCACACGGTATCTATTAACTATTTGTGGTGGCCGAATTTTGCTATTCAAAAGGCTTTTTAATGGCTGCTTCCATCGACATGCGGTTTTCGCCAAAAGATTCTTTAAAATATTCTCCAGAGCATGACGCCCTTGTTTTTTTCCAGTTTTGAGACAGTTTTGCTGCAAAAAGCTAAATTTTTTTATTTCGCCGATCGCTTTTGTAGGCCGAGGCTTCTGTCTCTGTAATTTTAGAAAACCCGGAAGTGATATTTCGCGAGGCGCATTTTGTTTTGAGAGTATAGATTTAGACCTTCTAATTTTTGTGCACCTCTCAAGATTTATTGCCCCATTCCAGTAGAGTGTAAATAGTGGGCGAATGACTTTTACTTGATATTAAAGCACCGATCATTCCTTTCACCGAAAGGGGGCCCAGCTAGTAGTATATATGCATGTAGATGTGTGAGTGTGTTCGTGCGTGCATATGTGAGAGATGAAAAAAATAAGAGAAGACGGAGATTGTGGTAAGTGAAGATCTTGTTAAGTTATCTTTCTCACCACTGCATTTAAGTTAAGGAGGATGGGCAACAATTTGTGCGACATCTTCAACAAGAAAAGATCTGTTATACATACATATGTAATGTAACATTAAATGGCAAGTCATACTAATAGGATAATATATGCTAGAAAAATAAAACAAAACGGTGGTTGGCTGCCTATACAAATGAGGCAGGAAATTGATCGTTACATAACACACAACAATTCAGATCACATTAGGTGTTCACCTGCGCCCACAAGAAGCTCACTGGTATAAGAATAATGACAAAAATTCATAGTGGCCTTAGGCATTTTTCAGTGTTTACAACCAAAACTGAAAAGATGAAGCATAATTTATGAAGACACAACCAAGCATTTGCCAATATCCCACCTAATAATTCTCTTCCTCTCTCCTTCACACTCACCATTCCTCAAACACACACACACACTCTGCCTCTGAGTACTCACACTCCCCCTCTCTATAAGATACACACACACTCTTTCTCTGTCTCACATGCACCCACACTCTTCCTCTCCCTTACACTTACTCTCTTTCTCTTTCTCTCATACTTTTATGCACTCGCACGCTCTCTCTCTCCGTTACCCAGGCACTCGCACATTCCTTCTCTTACACATGATACTCTCTCTCCCCATCACACTTATACTCTCACACTCTCTCTTACTCTACTGTTAAGAACTCGTCTCGTGCACTCACATAGAACAAACACTTCAAAATAAGTACAAATAGTATAGGTATTATGTATTGAACATGCACTAAAAAAGTGATCAAGTACTTATTGACAATAAAAATAATTAAGTATAATTAACCACAAACACAAAAACGCTTTAGCATTTAAAAAAAAATGAAGTATAGGAGTAGGAGAATAAATTTGCATATGATAAAGAACTTTACAATGGAGTGCTAACTGGTAGTGGAAGAACAAAGAAAGAAATCATCTTTAAGTAAGCTGTATACAGATGTCAGACATTCATTTTAAGGCTAAAGCCCAAAGAATAACATCATAAATATTTGAAAAATAGACTGTTGACCAGTATTATGCAGCATGGCCACTAGTTATTAAACTTAAAAATAATAAGGAAAAAAGAACAACAATGTAAGAGGTAAAAAAAACACCCTTTACAGCTTTTTGAACACTTCACTGGGTAAAACAAATTACATCGTTATCAAATACTGAACAGATGCTGGTGGTATCAATATCATACAAAATGCTGGTTATGGTAGATAGAGGAAAAAACAATAAAGTTGGGAGCGATTTCGCAGTGGAGTACACGCCCTAACTCAGACTGAAGGGCTCATTGATCATTTTACCTTTAAAGCAGAGGGCTATTTTCAGCCGTCTCTTCCCTCTGGCCCAGGTAATACTGAAGTCCTTGACTCCTCAGGCCCAGACAATACTGACCATGTCTACAAATTTTTGCTGACATTGGGAAAAAAAGCCCAACCTTTATGCTGCTTTTGTTTGAAGTTTTGGAACATAGCAGGGGAATATTTTTCAGAGACAATTGGATAGATTACAGTAAAAAAAAATACACGACTGGATGTGAAGGAAATATTTCCGACCTGGCCTGAGAGAATGAGATTTTGTGAAGGAAATATATATATATATATATGCACAAATGGGGTTGCAAGGGTTAAGAACTTGCTTGATCTGCTAATTCATTCCAATTCATTTTGCATTTTGGTTTGTTTTTTCAGCAATACACGCACCTTTGTCATTTACAAGAAACGAACACCTACAACTAGCAAACTGGACAATCTTTCTGAACTTATGACGCTCCCTCCCCATGGACTAGTTTGTTTAGCACACACAGGAAACATTGACATATAATGTAGCAAAGTACACATTTGCAGCTGGATGGATGGAGGAAAATAAGCTGGAGCACATTTCCAAAGGAAAGAATGTGCTTAGCTGGCTTGGAATTAAACCCTCATTTTTTCCCCTTTACAGTCCATGTCTTACCAAAAGACTTAAACAGCTCTTATCTAGGCAACATGAAGACAGGATGCAATATTTCTTGTGACCAACACTGATAAGGTCAGCTGAATCTTTCCAGGTTGATGAGCTGCAAAAAAACCAAACAACTGAGCTTGTCACATTAAAGGCTAATACTAATACAGAAAATGTCACAACGCCTGACAGGACAGTCAAACTCAAACCCTCTCATTTGTTGAAGGTTTAATAATTACTTGGAAGTCTTGAGATGAGGAACAGAAACTTTTAAAACTCTGGGCTGCTCTCTCGTTGGGAATGGGTTGGTGTTATCACGTAGTCACCCACGGGCAGCGGTCTCAGTTGTGTGATCGAGTCTGGGGAGCAGACATTGGGAAGGGGGCTCATCTACTAAGATGCCAGATCAAAAATAAAAAAAAAAATAAAAAAATGTAGCCTGTGTTTTTAAGCCCCCATTGATACAGTTTAGATCATCTTGGAGGCCAGATTCTGACCTGAATTTAGATCATTTAGGAGGTGGGCTTCTGACACTGCATTTATTAGTATTAGGGGACGAGCTTCCACTCCTGCCTGTCAGGGCTACTCTGGGTTGAGAGAAATACGATATCCCTACAGAAATACTGAGATACTCTATAAAAATTTCTCCCTACTCAAGAATCGAACTGAAGTCTCCTGCATGCGACAGCAGAGCGCCTAACTGCTACGCAACAGACACCAGTCTACCAGCTCAACTACATGACATATAATACAAAGACAGCATTACAAGCGCTGTATGCCTACTTGTGAGTGGGTTTAATTTACTGATTCAGAGAACCAGCTTTTGTAGTGTAGAGGGCGGGTAAGCGCTTTGCTGTTGCCTACAGAAAGACAAGTGATGGGAGAATTTTAATCTAGTATCTCTGTCTTTTTGCTTGAACATTGTATCCCTCTCTGCAGACCAGGTTGGCCATGACAGGCGGAGTCAAAGCCTGCCTCCTAAATGATCTTAATTGTCCCCATGTTTAGTTTTAGTAGAAGTTTTAATGCATTCATACTTCTGCTCGGATGCTCTCAAAGAAACCCCTATACTATCATTATCATGGTCTTTTCCCATTACCTACCTGTTCAAGTTCTCACTCTAAGGGTGCATTCAGACCAAAGATATGTTTTTACATCATGATATCAAAATTTGACCAGGAGTACGAACATGATATCAATTTAACCATTTCAACACAAAATGTTTTTGAAAAAAAAAAAAAAATTAAAAAAATAGCCTGAATGAACAAGCCCCAAGATATGGAACTTCAGGGAAGGAATTTTATGGCCGCCGCAAAGCAAACTAAATGGATGAATGTCCACTCCCTTCAACACACAGACGTGGGACTTTGGTCTGGACACTAGCTGGTGAGATATAAGGATTGAAGTTGTTCACGCTTGTACGAAAAGACACCTCGATGGGCAGTAGGTCAGTAACTTTGGTCTACCTCATCAAACACTCACCTAAAACCCAGGTGGGACTAACCACCTGTCTGTCAGGAATCAGCTCAAGGCCAACATGGACGACAGCTCTCTGCTCTGAGCCTATCACCTACACGGGAAACAATTTTTAGTTTTAGTAGAGGTTTTAAGGCGCTCGCAACTGCATAAGGTCATATGAGCGCCAGAAGATTAGAGCTGTTACAAGAAAGTAACAAACACAAAAAAGATGAAGGGGAGATCAGGACAATAGATGTTTGATAGGAAAGAAGAAGCAAACCACACCAGAGCACCTGCCAACCACCCACACGGGAAACAAGGAACAAGAAACAAATAATATTGTGAGTACATGAGCGTATTGTGTATTTTTGTTTCTCTCTCTATTTCACTCTTTTTTCTGTGCGTGTGTGTTTGTGTCTATGTGTGTGTGTGTTGTCTGTGTATGTGTGTGTGTGTTGTCTGTGTATGTGTGTGTGTGTTGTCTGTGTATGTGTGTGTGTGTTGTCTGTGTATGTGTGTGTGTGTGTGAGAGAGTCAAATTTTTCTCAAACAAACCCATTAAAAACAAACAGGAACACCATTCAATTGAGAAATAAAGTACCGTTCTCTCAAATGCTGCTTATCAGAATGTGTATAAGAGCACTACTATATGTGTCACGACCAGGTAAAATCAGGCGCTCGTCAATTTTTGGGCATCTGTAGTTATTGGTATGATCTTAAAACTTGTTCACTTGACCATCTTTTGATGAAAAAATACACGCCTATATTGAATTGAAGTCGAGATATTTGCCGTTGAAGGAGGCGAGGGTCGCCTGGTTTCAGAGGTAAAATTTAAGAGAAAATGGCCACCAAAACTAGGTGATTTCCAACACTTGAGTCATTGGAAAAGGAAAATTTACATTTGTTGTGCCGTTAACCAATTTTTAAAAAATGGACATAAAAGGTGTTGACCCCCCCCCCCCAAAAAAAAGAAAAAATTTTCTAACTGGAGAAAAATATGACGATATAGATCTATATTTGATTTCAATATTTTGATGAGCGCGATTTCACAACCATGCCTCACATATATACATAGCAGACTGTTCCACTCATCACATCAATAGCTGTACTGGTAGTTGGATGTTGCTTCTCAAACCTTTCTGCAATAAACACTGTCTCTTGTCATTCTGCCTGCCTGAGTTTTTAAAATTCTAAGCAAGGTTTCTATGCCCTGTTCTTATCTTCTGTTTAAGTCTCTTAAAATAAGACAGACAGACCGAAACAAAAGAGGAAAAGGGAAGAAGTGGGACCTACAAGTGGTACCCTCCAACTACGAGGACCCTTTTCTGATTTGACTTTACATTGCACAATGTTCTGTTGTGGACATTGCTCCAGTAACTAAGCAAGAACAGAATCATCCCTTACATTTCCGGAGCAGATTCTTATCAGTTGGACCAAGTCTTTTCTGGACGGTGTGCAGGCAGAGGACACATAGATGGGGCCCACTTGAGAGAAAAGATCAACCTTGTAACCTTCACCGTGTCTTTGGCGGGCGACTCTTGACTCCTGAAACGACACACACAGACATGACACAACAGGAATTATTTTTAATTAAACACAACAAAATGCATAATAGTTTCTAAAGAAACAATGTGAAGGAAAAATAATAATAAACAATAATAATAATAATAATAAACTGTCCTTCCAGTTATTCAAGAAAATTTCTCGAAAAAGATGTCTGTGAGAATATCAGCACTGTACTAAGCTTTTTGTTCATGTATGTTAATATGATGTAAATTTACACAGTGAATCATAGACATTTAAGAAGAACTATAAGAAAGAGGAAAATAACTGTAGAGAGAAAAAGAGTAGTGCCTGGAATTGGCAGACTGTAACCAACAATAGAAATAAAAATCTTTCAGGATAATATACACATGTAATGTCAATCAAATAATTCACGATGATAAAACAGGGGAACAAAGTAATTGCTGGTTTGAGGCAAAAGGGAATATATTAACATAGAAACAATTGATCAACGTTAGTAATAAATAACGACGGTGTCCCGCACAAACCAGTCAAGTCAAAGTTAGGAAACTTTTTAGAATAGAATTTAAAAAAACAAAAAACAATAAAAAAAATCCCTGCATAAATGAAGCAAAACTGAAAGCATAGTTACCAGGTGAAGAACATGAAGTGTCCACTTAGGTGAATTTTTTTACACATAATTAAGGATTCAGTAAAGAAGAAAAAGGTGCTAAAAAAAGAAAAATTTATGGAAATCTTGGACTTGGTCTATTTGCGTCGGACACCATGCAACATGAATATTTTGCTAGAGAACTACACTGACCTTGGCAGCGGGGAACTCATCCATCTCAAACTCTTCCTCAAAAAGCCACTCTCCTGCCTCTAAGGATCTCAGAACCTGTTAAGGTAAAAAGTGACACTTGGCATTTTTTACATGAAGACAAACCGTATGGGTAAGTCATTTGTCCCTTTGTAGACTTAAACAGAGATGAATTTTTTAATCCAGAGAGTTTGCCTAGCATGCTAGGCCTAATAATTGCACTTGTTTTGGGAAAACGACAAAAGGAGTGTATGCATAGCAAGCAATTAAAAATAAAAAAAATAAAAAAATATATATATAAAAAAACCACCAAGAAAACAACGACTTGTTGCAACTCTGTATATTACTGAGGATGACGTGAGGGTAAAAGTACTAACTGGTGCAGGGAGTATTGTGAAGTTGCATGAAACAACCTAGTAATATAAGGATGGAAAAATCCAATGTAGCACACTACCAAATTACTCACCCACTCCTTTCTGAGCAGCCAGCAGCCTTGGGCAATGGCACGCAGAACGTTGAGCGTACGTCTGGGCTCTCCACAGACCACGTGGGATGTGGATGCCTGTACGTCATTGGTCATGTGGAATACTTTCATCTTCTTCACCACAGAATAAACTACTTCTTGCTCGCTGAACAAACAAGAGAAGGACGTAAAATAGTTAGCGTCAAAAAAAAGAAAAGCAAAAAAACACTCAATCAAAAAAGCAAAGTCCTAGCCAGACTAATATGAGCAATTGCTTTACACGAGTCTTGCCATTTTTTTTCTCCTTTTCAGTATTTGAGTAAAGACAAGTGCACCAACACAAAAAGTTTTTACTGTGAGGAAAAAAGTAACAAACAGAAACAAAAAAAGGAGAGAAAAGAAGTGAGATCTACCAGAGGCCCCCTTGCTTCACCTGCAGTATCAAGTATTGAGCGGTATCAACAAGTAAAATTGACTCCAGATAGAAAAGGAAGTTCTTGTTCTTGGTAAGCTGAGATAAAAACTCTCCCATCTGAAAGGGGTTGCCACACATCTTACCACCAGTCTTTAAAAAATTCTAATTGTTATTCATCTGTGAATAACCCTCAAAATAATATGTGAGGTGATGGAAAGCGTGGGATTCATTCTATTGCGTCACAGAGAAGCAGTTTTGCATCTTGAGTTTTTATTTGCAAGGATGGCTTTGTTTACAAAAATAGCAATAAGCATAAATATTGATCAATTACACTTTTTAAATTCTCAAATCTCAATGTTCACATGTTAACAGGAAGAGTCAGAAAAAAGTTACAACATAGCAAAACAAATCATCGAAAAAAAAAAAAAAGAGTATTGTACGATGAACAAAAACCAAACAAAGACCGTAATTACACTCATAGTTACTTTATAGCCTCTGGATACTAGTGAAAGCAACATCATAGAGACGATGATTAGTTTAAGTCTTATAGAAGAACAAACAATTGATTACAGCTGCTTAGTGACAGGGAAAAGTAAAATAAAGGATACACAAAAACAAAAACTGAAATCCAGCAGATGCCACTTACTGTCTGTGTAGACTTGTGACAACCAGCGAGTTGTTTCCTGAGCTGCTGAACGTCCCTGCATTGCCCATCACAAGTGAGCGAGCGTGTCTCAGCTGACTAGAGGCCTCCTTTTCCACTTCGTCGTCACATGACTTTCCCATGCTGCTGTTGTTAATATCCTCAATATCTGACAACTTGGTTTTAGAAGATTTCTTAGCGATTGTTTTCCAGGAAGCAGTCTTCTTAGAAGACAAAGTCCCTGGGGACTTCCTTGTAGACAAGCTTGTGGTTGGTTCTTCAGAACGTGAAGCGACAGAGTTTGCGCTGTCCCTTCCTGAACATTCACCACTGCTCTGGTCTACCATAGAAGGTCCCGGGTCGGACTTACGGACTGCGTTTACCTTTTCTATTCCATCACTCGTTGAGCGTTTTATTTGACCAGATTTAGACCTTTTGGAGTTTTGGCATTTCTCAGACAAGGATTCGTTTTCTTCATCTATATGAACCAACCCCTCCCGTCGAATTTTTGATTTGCCATTGCCTTTCTTTGTTTTTGAGATTTGTCTGAAGATGGAGAACTCATCAATACTTCTCCTGGAAGCAGTAAGTCGCTCAACTTGAGTCAGGGTCGGATCAGAACCATACAGGACAGACATGGAAGATCCCAGTGACAAATTGTCCACACCACTACTCTCAGATCTGGAACACTCTTGCAACAATTTCCCGTTTCTCGATTGGTCAGTTCTTTTTTTAGGCTTTTCTTCATGAGTTTTGTCAATTTTATTATGCAAATTAGTTTCTGGCTTTGATACAGGAGAATTGAGTCTTCTACTCTTTCGCCTGTTTAATTTGTTCTCCTCTTTCGCGTTCGAGTCTGAGGCACTGAAAAGAAAAGCAGCATCTGAATCTCGCTTTCTCCCTCTCTTTCTATTGGTGGCATGCTTATTTTGTTTGGTTTTACCATCACAGTCGGTGTATTCTCCCATGGGCCTGGCTGGAGCAGAAGCATCTGGTGAGCCCTTGGAAATAAAACAAAACAATGACGACGATGATGACGGCTCAGAAAAAAGATTCTTTTTCTTTTTGACCAACTTCGTTGGGTTAAGATCTTCACTTGTGGAAACAGAAGCCACAGCAGCAGAAACAATTCTGTTCTGCTCAAGATTCGTTGGAGCCAACTTCTTATCATACACGGTGAATTTCTGCTGCACACAGCTGCCTTTTATGGGTGACTTTTCTTTCTCAGCATTAGCACTATTGCCACTGGTTTTCCCCTGACTTAAGTCTTGTGGTGACTTGATGGACGTGTTGCTGGTGTTGGACAAATCAGACAGAGGGCTGAGGACTCTAGGACTGGTGCTGGTCCTGCTACTCTTCTGTAGGGGGGAACGAGATGGGCGGTGGGAAGCCGTGCAGTTTTCTTTGGCTGTACTCGGAGAATTTGACATAGAAGATGGTGCAGCCAGACTCCGACGTTTTCTTGACATTTCAATCCTATTGCCTTCTTTAATGCAGTCATAACTTTTACTGTCATCCTGGTAGATGTTTTGAAGATCAGATTTTTTTGCATCGTCACGTGTTAATCTCACGCTCCTCCTTCTGCTGGTCAATGATGATGACAAAGAACTTTTTCTACAAGCTTCTTTCTTTTCACAACCCTCACTGGCCAATTCTACACAGTTTACTTTAGAGTTTGACGACACCTTTTGATGATCCCGCACAGATAGAGTAGAGTGTGCAGCATAGTTATCTTTTCCAACTGATGATTCTGTCGATGCCATGCCTGTCCCAACATAGAAGGGTTCTCTCCTTTGGGCTTCATGGACAGTTTTACTGCTGTTTGTTTTGGCTAGAGAAGAGGTTCTAACAGCTACCGAGGTGTTATTTGTTTTGGTGGGTGGGGAGGCACTGACAGATACCGGAATGTTCTTCCTGCTGCCTTGTGAGTGTGGGCTGCTGTCACTGTGAGATTCCAGGCTCTGTATCAACTGTGACACCACACGATTGGTCGACTCTTCTTCTTCCCCATCACTGCTTGCCTCCGTACTAGTAAAATCACGACTGAACTTACCTGTGGAGTTGAAAGAAATCAACCAGGTTATACAATTGACAAAAATTGAACATTAAAAAAAAAAATCAATTATTTATGGAGTCCATATCAAAGCTAAAAATCCTGTTGTGACATCTTTTGAACACTGAATACAGGTGAAACATTTGGACCTCTGCAAACCTCATTGTATGCACATTCCATTTTTTTTTAATTTCAAAAAAAGGGGGGGGGGGGGGGGGGGGAAGAGGAAAAAGTTGTACTTCCAATAACATTGATTAATTGATTATGTGCATCAGATTTTGTGATTTGCAATAAATCCCTTGTCTGTGTCTAAAAAGAGTCTTGCAAAAACAAAAATGAACACATGAAAAGTTGTACCTTCTCTTTCAGTTCGATTATGATCTTTGCTCGCTAGTCTTGCTCTAACACAGTTGCAGACCTGCAACTCTATGAAATCTAAAAATCAGGATTTTGGAGTAAAAAAATCAGGATCTGGTGAAAAAAATCGGGATCAACGACAAATCAGTGATAAGGGGCACTGGGGAGGGGGGGTGTCCTGGTTCCCTTTCATGAGGCAAGTATGCAAGACAAAACTTTTGCAAGGATAAGTTCACGTTTGGGCTTCTGAATAGAAAGAAACCTGAAAGACAGCATATACAATGTATATGTACTCGAGTCGGAGTTGGATAGACGGGGGGGGGGGGGGGGCGCAGGTTGCAGAAACTCTCGTAGTCTTGAAAATAGCTGGCACATAACTCTATTCATTCATGCAAAAAGTCTGCGTTTTCATACAGTAACGTTTGACTTCCATCGCATATACACTCAAGGCGTCCACCGCCCCGAAGAAAAGACAGCGCCAAGGTTGTTCATTTATTGTTTTTATTTTCTTATTCCTTTCTCCTCAATTAGTACCTGTATCACGGCACGCACTTTAAGCCCAAGTTTTAAAAAATACACCCCCCCCCCGGTCGGCCACGCTGGTTAGGTCCCAAAAAACACCTCGACCAATGCGACCGGTGTGAATGAACTTTGTTGACTTTGACAACCAACGGTCCCCAACACACGCACTACTCACACGTACGAGGTCAGGTCATGTGATGCGAATGAGCGTTTGAAAGTTTCACTGACAGGTTTTGATGATGGGCCCGACGAACCAGCACTCAGATCAAGCTTGCTTTTAAAGCAACGGCAGAACAACTAATAGATTATTCTTAGCCCATGTCATAATTGTATTCAGGACACCATCTGAGAATTCTGGGTTATAAAAGCGAAAGTAGATCTTGAGCGTATCCAAGTCTCAATTCAAAATTGATACATGTACAACGTCGATTTTAGTTGAAATAATGTGCGTGAGTCATCTACTAGATTCCGCATAGATGCTTTAGAAAATAGCGTTCCAAGTTCCTGCTGATAAAAAGTCCAATCGGTGCTTCCAAGCAAGAGAGATTGCAGAACTTTTTCTTCTTCTAAGAATCGGATGCAATAGACGCAACGACAAAAAATCAGGATACTGGCAATCGAAACCGGGGAAATCGGGATGCTTGAAATTTGGAGCAAAAAATCGGGATATCCCGATTAAATCGGGATGAGTGGCAGGTCTGCAGTTGGGATTCACTGAAAATGAAGCACGAAATTAGTAATACAGCAAGTGCTCTTATTATTATGACAATGACCACATTTGATAAAACTGATAACTCAAATAATCTTAAAGTGGGCTAAAACTTTAAAAATAAAAGCTACACCAAAAAACTTTTTTGGAAAAATATAGCAGAAAATTAAAGCAATTGTAACTAACATGAGGTACACGACCACACATACACTTTATAGATTTTATTTGATCGACATGGTCATGTAGAGCAGGGGAACAGCAAGAAAAGAAGTAAGACCTGCAAATGGTGCCCTCCAACCACTCGCTACACTTAAAAGACAGCTCGCTACCTTAGAGTTACAAAGTTCTGTCTGACATTTTTGGCCGTTTTGAGTTATAAAGACCATGAGTTCTGAATCCAAATGTTGTTTCTACTCTATCAAAATCGTAAGATTATTTGGAGTCGCTATCAAGATATCTACAGAACTGCATTCGAAAAATCTTGACATGTTGCGAAACTAAAAATTTTTTGTGTCAAATTTCTCAAAACTAGGTACTGAGCAGACAGAACTTTGTAATTCTAAGGCAGTGAGCAGTTAAAGAGCTGTCCAGGCATGGACTCACCAAAAAGTTTCCTCTGTAATGGCATGTTGTCCGGGAGTCTGGGGGCTGCTGTAGGAGATTCCTCGTCCAGACCCAGCACTGAGACAGACGAAACATTTGTTAAAGTAAGTGTTTAACGGCACTTGCAACACAATAAGGTCAAATAAGTGCCGAAGATTAGAGGTGTTACAAGAGAGTAACAAACGCATAAAAGAAGGAGGAAAGATAAGGACGAGAGATGTTTGATAGGAAAGAAGAAGCAAACCACACCAGAGCATCCGCCAACCACCCACACAGACAAAACAGTGAGGTAACAACATGAAGCAAGTCTGTGTACAACTATACTTATTTCACATTTGTCCTCCAGGTCATGCCACCAGCTGAATTTGAGGCTTTTGTACATAGATGCCCCCCATTCGTTGCTGGTATACAGTTTACAGATTGAGATAGGCTTACCAGTTCCTAACTTTCCACAGACAAAAGTCAGTGTTTCTAATTTGCTCATCTTCTTGCGATAAATGAGACGATTATGAAATAAGTTTAGTTTCTTAACTCCTATCGGCTAGAACGACACACTCCATGCTGTTCCACTTTTCGTTTACCCCCGTCCAACAGAATGGCAAAGAGCGTGTCATTTTCCTCTTCCTTATTTTTAATTTAATACACATTTCTATTTTACTTAGTCTTCTAAATCCATATTTATAACACTAGTCAAGTTAAAAATAGACATGATGACACCTCTTTTCTTTGTGGGAATTTGCAACTTGAAGGCGTATTTTTTAAATGGTAGAGAATTGTATCACCCACAATTTTAGATCTAGAGTCGAAGTCATTTTCCCACACAAAATTGTTACTGAAATCCCTCTACAAAACTTCTGCTTTTCTGCATTCAATCTCACTTTCTTTCCATGCTTTCTTCATGTTACTGATTGTTAACTTTTTGGAATGGTGAACAAGATAGATCTAAATCCATACAGTTCGTGAAATAAAAATTAATGTGAATATTAAATGACAGCACAGATTTAATTCTGGCTGTTCAGGAAAATCCATGAAATCATTTCTGGTTGATAAGAGTTAATTTTGAGAAAAGAGAAGCACATCGAAACAATAATGGTCATCTTGGACAAGGAAAAAAATATGATAGGTAGTAACAGATGAAAGAAAAGAAGCAGGACTGACAGGTGACATCCTCCAACTACTCGCATCATTGAGCAAGGAAAGGAAAAATGACTAGAGCTATAAGGTGCAACAACACAAGATACCTTATGTCATAGGTCACAGCAAAAAAGAAGAAAGGGCTGGAGATGATACAACACAACAAATAACAGAATGAATCGTGAAGTTGAAGAGAGATATGTATACATTCAAATCTATCCAAGATAATTACCTGTTACAGAGTAGAAAAGTGGTAATCTCAGACAGATGATCCTCTTGGACAGTGTCATTATGATATATAGATAAAATGCAAGTGGGGAAGTGGAAAGTGATCGTTTGTACTGGAGACTGTCTTGGACAGGTGGTTATTTGAGCAGATTCCACTGGACTTTTTACCAAATACCTACTGTTGATTAAAGTGAAATACTAACAGATTATGATACAAGTGAAATACTTATATAGTGGTAATATGTGTCACAACATGGTGCAATCAGGCGCTCGTCAATTTATGGGCACATAGAGTAATTGATATAATCTTAAAGCCTGATCATTAGCCTTGCTTTTGTTGAACAAAAAATACCTATCTTCCTGGCACAGAAGTCGAGATATTTGCAACTGAAGGCAGTGGAGGTCACCTGGTGTCAGAGGTAAAATTAGTGAGAAAAGTTTGGTGACTTCCAAAGCTGTTACAATGTCCTTGGAAATTGCAAAATTACACTTTTGTGCTTTGACCAATGTCTTTCAGTAAAATCCACACAGAAATGTGTTTTAAATGGATATACTAGATATTGACCCCAAAACAAATTTAAAAATAGATAAAAATTGCCAAAATGGCTGACAAATGTCAATTTCTTTTATTTCATTATTTTGACAAGCGCCCGATTTCAACACAATGCCACATATAATATATTTGTTATTCATACATTCTTTTTGTTCTCTCCTCATTCTCTCCAGTCTCTCCTTCATGCTGGGAGGTGTGTCAGGGACAATGCCCCCCCCAGACAGAGTAGGTCTCAGCAGAGCAGGCAGAAACTGGAAAAATAAAATAGGAAACAGATTAAAGAGAGAAAAGCGGGGGCCTCAATTTCTAACAGCTAACAAATAAAAAGGCTGGCAAGCAGCACTCACGTTTGCAGGAGACAATCATTCTCAGAGGAAATGTCCTCTGCAGATTAATCACCTCAGAAATCCTTTGGATATCCAATCAATTTCACATTCCAATATGAACCTCTCAGTAAAATTTTGTTATGATAAACGCATAGCAACGTGACAAAACGAGTCAATAGTTGAACTCAGCAGCTGTTTCAAGATCACGGTCAAAGTCTTGATTTTCTCAGAATGGTGAGTTTCTGACTCCCTTACTTCAGGTGACTTTGGAACCAAAGCAGCTAGTCTGATACTGTTTCCACCTACATGCAGAGTTGAACATATCCTGAATTTGATACCTGCTGTACTGTCAAATTTATTGCACTTGCAACTGCAGAAGGTTACATGAGCGTACTCGTTTGCAACATATGATTTATTTTGTCAAGTTACTACATAAATGGCTGTTCTCGTTATCTCAACCAGTAACAAATGGTGAAGAGAGTTTAGAGAGAGAGAGACTTGATAAAGTTCCAAAGATGGTCGAATATCTCTGTTTAGTGTCCATAAACAAAATTGTAGGGGCAGCAAACATTTTCAAAATTTGATGCAGTGGTTTGTGTGTGTGTGTGTGTGTGTGTGCATGAGTGTACGTGCGTGCATGTCAGAGGTTTCGAAGAAAATTCTTACAAAGCCACAAAAGAGACAGCAGTAGATCAAGCGTAGCTTACTCAGAGCATTTGAACGGATGTGAGACAGGAAGAAACAAGGATATAAAATAGACTATATAGAGAATATCCAAGGACAGAAATGAGTGGTGAACCATGATTGCTGATGTCAGTTTCAGATCCTACACTTGAGGAAAGAGAAGAGTGTAAGACACAAACACAGACATGGTGTTTAAGTAAGAGTTTTACGGCAATTGCAACACTATAACGTCATATAAGTGTTGAAGAATAGATGCGCTGCAAGAGAGTAACAAACATAAAAAAGGAGGAAGAGAGATCTTATTTTAGTAAGCCTTTTACTGCACTTGCAACACAATAAGGTCATATAAGTGCCGAAGATTAGATGTATTACAAGAGAGTAACAAACATAAAAAAGGAGGAGGAGAGATCAGGACGATAGATGTTTGATAGGAAAGAAGGAGTAAACCACACCATAGTACCCGCCAACCACCCACAGACTTGGTGTGAAATAACTTTCTGAGAATGTGTCCTCTCCTCAGAGATAGGGCCAAGAGTATGTTTGTTTTAGTAAGCGTTTTACGGCACTTGCAACACAATAAGGTCATATATGTGCCGAAGATTAGAGGTGTTACAAACACAAAAAAGAAGGAGGGGAGATAAGTACGATAGAAGTTTGATAGGGAAGAAGAAGCAAACCACACCAGAGCACCCGCCAACCACCCACATAGGACCAAGAATAACAGTACAGTTAAACACATACAGGGGAACGGGCTTGTGTCTCCAGAGCCAAGATGGGTACAGGAGAATTTGTCGGGGTGGAATCATCGCTCAACTTGAACCTATTGGCCATCATGAGACGTTTCCTTCGCTTCTCTCCCCTTTCTGCACTTCGGGCAAGTTCTTCATCAAAGTCACTCGGTTGCATGGATTTCATTTTCTGGGTCAGCAAAGAAAAGTGATCATACATAAATTATAGAAGTAAAATAAATAATTCCATGCCATCGACCACCCCAACATAAACCAAAGTAATAAACAGGGATGCCACTCAACTTTTTTGAAAATAGCTGAAAATCCACGCGCCCCGGTGTCGCTAACATATGAATATCAATTTAAAACCCAAAGGGTGTACAAAGAGAGAAATGACAAACAAACAAAAAACAATGAGTGTACATGGAGAGAAATGACAAACAAGCAAAAACAATGGGTGTACATAGAAAGAAATGACAAACTACCAGAAATACTGGAAAAAAGCAGCGGAAAAGTGGCATCCCTGAATATAAAAAAAAAAGGATTTGGAAAGTAAAAATAACTTACGCAAGAGTTAATACTTTCTAGCTCTGATAATTTACCTTTCAATGGGGTAAAAAGATTGTTAAATTTGTCTATGATATTCTCGATAGAATCTTTGTGGAAGTGTAATAAATTAAGAAAGAAACGTATACTTTCCTCATGTCAACATTCCTTACTGTAAAAAAGGTATACTCTAAGTACTCTAAGAAAATTTTTCAAATGCACAGGTCATACTATATTGCTTTGTAGACTCTTGTAAGCAAAAACACACTAAACAAGAAGCTTAATCTCAACAGAAAAACAGCTTTTGCAGAGCAGCATAATATAAGTAAACAAATTACAGAAGAATTTGAGACAAAGGAGCAGGAAGGGAGCTAAGAAGACAAAAACAGATAAATTTGTAACAAAGGAGAAGGAAGGGAGCAAAGAAGCCAAAACAGATCAGCATCATCAGCAATCTGAAAACCCTTTGTTGCATGTTGTCCTCTTCAGCGGACATGATTTTAAGACCACACCACGGAGTCACTGAATCTCACACCCATATCATTTCATTTTGTCAAGAAAGTTGAGAAGATCGGGCAGTTACTCTTTACATACAATATCCCTTTCATCAAAAGTGAAAAGTCTTTCTAAGCATTATGTCCACTAAGGTGGACACATAGCCATCACAAACACGAAGTGAAAGTTCACTGGACAAATTGACCCCCCTCCCCCCTTTTTTGTTGAAAAAAGTATTTTTTGGTCATCTTCATACATAGAAAAAGTTGTTGGGTGAATTTGAACCTCTAACCATTATTGTTTCATGAGCACGAATATCACATGCAACAATGAGTTTAATTGTTTTAAGCCGAGAAAGCAAAAATATCTTATAGGGGAGAGGAAAAAGCTGTCTCATTTTTTAAAACAATTGTACCTTCATTAAATAGAAGTTTTTTTTCATTTTTTTTTCAACATTTAGAATTTGAATTCCAACAAAATATTCATCAAACACATGCAAATGACACCACAGATTTAGAAATTGCAGTGAAAAAATATAAAAAATTGGGAGCCTAGTATCTGAGCAGCTGGCCAACAATACAGCCATGTCATGTGACAAATCATTCCTTTCCCAACAGAGTAGGGGAGTCAGAGTCTGTGTCCTGATATAAAACCTCACCTTCCACTTCACTCCATTCCTTTTGAGAACTGGAAGAGGACTGTTATTCTCCTCTGGCAAAACAGCAGGAAAGTCTTGTTCAGGCATTCTCACATTGTTTCGTTTGCAGCTAAGAATATATAAGAACAAAAAATCATATAAAAATCTTACTAACTGCTGACTTTAAAAATCAGTTTTTTTTAAAACTCATGCCCCCGTCTCATATGCTTTTTTCTCTAGTAGTATTTTGCATGCTGAACACGAATATGGCCTTCATTTTTGCCGCAAATCAATAGTTATTGAGTTATATTGATGTTTGAAAACAGAGCTAGGACAAGTGGCGTAGTAATATTTGACTTGTTTTTAACAACATGGGGGGTTTCAGGGGGGCCTGCCACCCTGACCTAAAAAGAATCTGGGGGGTTTCAGGGAGGCATGCCCCCTGCATTTCACATGATTTGATGTTTTGGCAATTAGGATTGATATTACTTGAAAACAATTGATTTGCAAGGGTTTTAGTGGCCATACGTGTGTTCTGCAGCAAAAATTATGGCAGTTTAGCCCTCAAATCAGTGCTGTGTGTGGGTGCATATAAGTAAAAATTTACCCAAAATCACTTACCATTGACATTATAATTTAGTCAGGATGTCCATTTCTTGAGAGAAAAAAAAAATGCTTGATATGAAAATGATCTGAATAAAGTGAAAATTCTAGACAACCATGCAATACAAGATGAGCAAAACCTTTTATAATATGATAGTCCAATAGATTTTTATTGCAAAATTTGTGCTTCTAGGATTGATGAGAACAACACTGTGTACCTGAACAGATAAAAATCAATTTCAACTTTACTGAGCTCAATATGAGCCAAGAAACAAAGTGCAAGCACTGAGCTCCATTTTCAGCTTTCACGGCCACCGTTAAGTTATGTCAACAAAAGAAAAGGAATGGACTAATCACAAAGTCAGAAAAAGTTAATTTATATGAAACAGAAAACCTCCCTGACTCTGTCAAATGTAATTTTAGAATCATTTTCCTCAAGTCCTACAATATTTGTAGGCCTTCGATATTTGTATGGATATCCATGACAAATTGACACACCACATCTAGAACTGGAACTAGATAGGCCTAAGTACTACAAAAAATTAGAATCAAACATCTTTTGGCTACAACTACAGTGCCATGTACATAGAAGATATTTTCATTCTCACAACAGGGAGATAGCTTCAAAACTGGAGAACTTTACCAACCTTTCCAACCAAGACACTGAGACCATAGGAATATTTCGTCTCACAGCTTTATTCCATGTTCGCTTCATCCCTTCCTTGAACACAATGTGCGTGACATCATCAGTAAAACTAGAAACCACTTGTGCGCCAAGCTGCTCCAATTCCTGACAAATGGCTGATGTTCGGTTGTCATTGCTGCTACGCACTTCCACATAAGCCACAACGCCTTCAATGAAACAAAACAGAAACACTGTATTAGACTATAAAATATACAATCAACATGGGTATATTAAAAATATTTCAAGTATTATTAATATTAGTTTACATCACAATCATATATATGGTTTTAAAAGACCTTAAAATAAGAAGTCCATCAAAATGTGAAGTAAACTAAACAAATGCACTGCTTTAGGGGGTCAACTGGACATATTTTTTGCTGCAGATGACATAGCCCACTAATGCTAATCTCAACAACATCAATTCAATCAGAACATGCATGTACAGTACTTCATTTGAACTGTGGTAGTGTAGCGACCGAGTGACGCTGTGACAACTAACGCGGCGTTAATTGCAACAGAGTGAACACAGAGCTCTTTTATGTTGATGATTAGAATCTGTGACATTATCTAGATTTACATCTACCATTTCCGCTTCACTTCCCAGCGTGGTAGTCTCTAGATCTAGAATCTCCGCCTGACACAGAAGGCTTTCTAGAGCAGGCATTCAAATCTTAAGACGAATTTGAAGGCTTTTGCTAAATTTAAAGTTGAAAATTTTGTTGCCTTTAGGAATATAAGGAAGAAATCATCTGAAACAGTTGAGAAGGCCAACTTACAGTGTGTTGCAAAATCCACAAAGACTTTCTGTACATGAGTAGAGTTGACTTAAATATCTGTACACAATATATAGATCTAAACAGCCCAAATGTTGAGGCAACAAATATTATAAAACAAAAGCAGCATACAACAGCAACAAAAACTACTAGGGCCAACAACAACAAGAAAAGAGCTGCGACTGTGTTTGTTACTTTGGCGTGTGTGTGTGTGCGTGCGTGCCTGTATAAGGACAAAAGCGTGTGCATTTGTGTATGTGAGTGTGTGTGTGAGTGTATGTGTATATTTGTATGTGTGTGAGAGAGGGTGTGTGAGTGCATATATATGTGTTTGTTTTTCTTTTTTCTCTACTTTTTTTTGCCAGACTCACTCTCGCAAATAATGCCACATTAATTGTCACAACGTCATTCTGTCGCAATTAACGCTAGATATCTACCTTGAACTATAGATCTAGATCTAGACGGTCATATAATCAGGCCACCTGCGCGCTACTGACCTA